TGCAAATGGAGATATTCACCTTTAACTTTTATTGGATGGTTTGAATTGTTGGTTTCACTATAGAGTGTTTTTCCCCAATGATATCATAATATTAGTAAAGACACTAAAGGCAACATGCTATTATAAAACAAACAAAAACCCATCCCATGCAGGTTCTCAATGTTTCTCACACCAAATATATTCTATTTGGTGTGAGAAACTATATGAATATTCTATCCATGTGAAAGTAATGATCCACCTTGATATTGCAATTCTATTACGATTCACACAAAAGCCCCATTATCGGCCACAACAAGATGTGATGGAACAGTGTGTGTTCAGCTTGCAAAATGATGTCTGGAACAAACTGGGACTGTGTTCGACCAGCTAGGAACAGAGTGATAATGCTCCCCCGTTGTGCGGGGTGAACACAGATAGGTGGTACATCTGAGACACCATTCATCACACCTAACTCCACACACGCAGGGAGAATTTGTAAGCAGCCTCCAAAGTTTCTTTTTCAGCCTAACTGGTAGAAAGGGTATTTAATGCCAAGCCTCTGTGAGTGGAGCCAAGCAAGTTGTGCTCTCAGAAGTGTGAAAACCAAAATCAATCAACTATTCCAAAATGGTGTACAACAGCACAAGAAAACAATTACTGTCGTATCTATCTCTCCATCCAGAAAAAGAAAGAAGTTTGTGAGGGATATAGATGATCCACATACTGTATCTCCAACAGTATTAAATACTGAAGACAGTGTGTGTGTGGACATGATATATATACAGTCATTTCTAATTGATCACATATTGATAAAAGTGTGATTAGCAATCTAATTACTTGACCGGCTGCAAACTGGTAGTCTTCTAGTTTTATACCTATATAAATGCAAAGTTGAGGTAAACTGCCATCCTGTAGCAACTACATCACTACTTGTGGAGGAATTTGAAAAATTCTGTTTCACATCTAAGAGGTTTTGGGTGGACTCTGAATGTAAATAATGTTTCTCTTTAATGTAAACTTGAATACTTGAATTTTGGTTTAATATCTGTGCAAATAAACAACAACTGGTTTGCAGATTATCACAATTAATTGGCACATTATCCCAGACATAATACATGTAACTGCAAACTTGAACTAACAGCAGACTCGATCGTATTAGTGTCTAACAGTCCTGATGTTGCTTTGAAGACAGCAACTGATTTCAAGTGGTTGCAGATCAAAGACAACCAAACTGCAAATTCATTGAACACACTCTCAGTAATGTTGGTTGGGTAATTGTCTCCAACCACCATGGGGCAGGGCGTGGTCTGTGATGCTGCTGCAGGTGAGATGGACGCACCTGCGCGGCACCTGCAATCACGCCTCGCCGGCATAAAAAGCTGTTCTTGCTTGTGGTTGTTGTTAGCGTGCATGTTGTTCACGTATAGCAGCAACCGAACAAGTAGTGTGTGGAAGAAAGATGCTGAAAAGCAGTAAAATGTCATCAGGTCTGTCGTGGTCGTTCACACACCGTTTTGGATAATGTGACTGTAGCATCAGCAACAATGCTAAACGTTTAAGATCTTGTTTGCAAGCAGTAGTTGTTAACATTACTGGCAATATCACTGATGGGATTACGGACAATAAACACATTCGTTTGTGTTTGAAAAGGTTAAAGAAGATATAGTTGAGTGAATTTTGCCTATCAGTGGATGATTACTTTCACACAGATTATCTGCTATTCAACTGGACACATCTTTAACAGATGTTTACCTGGCAGTGATTTGGAACGTGTCTAAAATTATAGCTTTACCTAAAAAAGCAAACAAAAACTGATTTTTTAAATAGTAAATTGTACACCTCAGACCTTATGGTTTCACAGACGTAACTTTTCATCGAGACAGGAGCTATCTTTATCTTTATGGCAGATTATAATGTTTTTAATGGTAGCTTTTCTGAGAATATAAAAATAACTTTTTGTGCTTCACTATGGAGTTGTGGTTTCAGTAATTATGTATTCTGATCATTTGACTTGCATTGTCAAGGTGACCTGTTAACAGGGAGGACTCATACGCAGGGCTCCAAGTGAATACAGTGCATTTATTTACAGTGAACTACAGTGAAACATAATTCTGATGGTCAGAGCAGTTTGAGGGTCCAGTCTCCTCGAGTCTGGATCCAAACAGTGACACTATTCTCCCAGAACACACTGCCCTGTCTGCTCACCACTCGGCGTCCTGCACAAAGGAACAAAAAGGTGAATAAACTTTGCAGAACATCCAAAGAGTTGGAGAGCAGCTTCACTAACTGCTGCTAGTACAATAATCCTGTGAAGCAGCTAGAGTCGATCACCCGTTGCATTGGGTGTGTTTGCTTCGGCGGGAAACTCCTCCGAATCAATCAGCATATGTCCACACACATACACACACAAAAGGGGAAGGACAGAGAATGGAGACACAACTGGGGAGACTGGAAATAGAAAGGAAACACAAACATTGCCTAACCTAATAAGGAACACAGTGTAGAAACAAAGGGAAGCTAACATAATAGAGCAAGAAACCATGAACCAGAAATGGAGATTGTCACATTATTACTGATTACACTGTCTTTAAGATGGCAAAGGGCAACGGCTGTTTCAAGGAAATGCTCCGCATATGTTCCTACTTCAGTTTTGACTGTTGCTTTCTCGCTTGTTCTGTCACATCTGGAGTACTGCACGATCATTTGATATGTGCTGCATAAAATGATCTTAAAAAACAACACTTAGAAAAAATACATGAATAAAAAATGTCGAGTTATGCAGAAGAAGAAGCCCGATTAGTTCTTAATTCAGTGGATGATAAACTAAAACAAGTGTTCTGCTATTCATGCAAACATACTAATAGAGTGAAAGTTATGTCACAGTTCCAGGGTTTTTTGTGATAAATTCTTAAATATATGGGTGAATGTGAACCCCAGGGAGACTAGGTGTGCTCTGTATTGTACAGCGAACTGAAATATGAATTAAATTAACTAAGTTAGATGCTGACCATATGTTTGCTAAAGAGTCGCTTATAAATACAACAAAACTGAATTGTCCTCTAGGTTTCAGAGCAGTGATACAGTGAACTGTATCACAAGAGTCCAGAGAGCAGGTGTAGAAGAGAGACGAGTGCAAGAAGGAATGAAAAACTCCAAGGAAACGATAGCAGCAGCAGCAGCACTCGGGGCTTTGCCTGTTTTCTATGCAGACAGCTGCACTCTGAACATATGCTCCAACAGATGGAGGTCCCAAGGTGACTTTGCCTCTGAGATATAGCCACCCGCCTCTGGTATTCTTAGCATTTCTGATTACCTGTTGAACAGAAGAGACTTTTGCATGTGCCGAGTGATAAAGTGCGTTCCAAATCAAGCGCTACCTCTCACCTTCCGCAGAGACAGACTGCTTGCCCTCAGCATTTTTTGCAAAATGCCAGACATTCTAGAGCGGTAAATTAAACAGGAGCCATTTAAAATTCATAACATTGTGGAGGGGAAAAATGAACAAATGCAGCCATTAAGACATTTGTCGCAGTCTTTGCTGGTCCACAGGGGGCAAAGAAGGAGGGGAGGAGAAAAAAAATAAGAGCTGGATGCCAAATGCTCAATATGAGAGTGGGATAACCATTTAAGAATGACAGATAAGTGATTTCTGCAGAATGCTTCTGCTCAGTTGAAAGAGAAATTTATCTGTTGGGAAAGTGTTTCTGCAAGGGGAGAGAAAAACATTAACTGAAGAGCCCTGCTGTTAAACGACAAGTACGCAGAGCTTTTGTTTTAACTTTCATGATTGACGAGACACAGCAAAGCTGAAAGTGGAATGTCATTAAGAGATCCCAGAGAAGCTGGAGTGGATGGAGAGGGAAGCGTGAGGTGAGAAAAAGGTGCAGAGAAATGCATGCTTGCACACACACACACACACACATACACACACACACGCACACACTTTCTTCTCTCTGACAGGAAATCTTTTGCTTCGCTCACCGTGTGGTTTTTGAGTGCCAGCGTAGGGAACAGGCTGTGTTAAAGCTTGGAGACAGCCACTGCAAGTCTCTGCCTGGGTGGGAGGGAAGTTCATGTGTTCTGTCAATGCCAAATGTTTTTCTTCGGCCTGTCGCTTAGATTAAAGTGGGCCAGCACCTTCAGTCAGTTTCAGACGACCTTACTCATACTGCATCACTGCCAGCTGAGAGCAGGCTTTAGCCATTTTAACATACACGCACACACACACACACACACACACACGGCAGCCGTGAACTTTTCTCAACATACCCAACCATTAGAGGTGAATGTAAGAACACAAATATATGGCACAGTCAAATTGAACGTTTTAGTGGTTTTACTTTGTCAGTACCTTGTCTAATTGTGCCAGCAAATGTGTGCTTGGCGTGGCCCCTGCACACCTTACTTGGGCAGCTGCCTGACTCTACCAGTTTTTTTCTTGAGTTCTTTGTGGGTGCATAAACTGTTTCTGTTATTTTTCAGACCATAAGGTGGTGCACCTTATGGTCTGAAAAATAAAGTACTTTAACGTATGCTTTTAATCATTCTCAGGGAAACAGTTTATGCACCCACAAAGAACTCAAGAAAAAAACTGGTAGAGTCAGGCAGCTGCCCAAGTAAGGTGTGCAGGGGCCACCTTAATCCGGTGCGGATTATAAGGCGCATTTCGTGAAACAAAACAGTCAGATAAGTCAAACTTTACTCAACTCATTCTGCTTTCTTCATGAATTCTCCCCCTGCTGCTCTATTTCCACGTTGTTGCAGTACATTAATGACTAACCTCGTATTGTGGATGGATTATCTCAGTTGTTCTCCTGACTGAAGTTTGGTCCGTTTACAGCATCCTGCTATGCGATTGCATTTGTCCCTAACCATCGGGAACCCTCACGTTAGTGAGTGAAAAAAGTTAGCGTTCATCCTCCTGCTTCACTGTGTTTATGTTATGCTAACATAGCTGTGTTGCTAGCGATCACGTAGCACATCATTATATACCAGCTAGCCCAACTTCAGTAACCTGTAACCCCTATAGACATGGTTACTAGTATTTTCTTGTTTTTACCTGGTATTATTATTTCCGACACCCCTTGAACACACTTTGATTTTCCGTAGTTCAGTGAATGCAACAAAAGCACGTTGCTGCATTAAGCTAGGCAAAACGGAGCAAGACACCCGAGAGCAATTAACAAGCTACACAGTGAGTCTTTCGGTATAAAATAAGTGTTATAAAGTATTTTCAACAGTCTCTAACTTAAAGTTATGTACTTTTCAGAGGCCTTTATGTGTTTTACTCTAGACCAAAACCAGGCAGAGCGTGTATTTGTTTCTTGGGAATTCCGGTGAGTTACTAGAGATGATAAGTTAGCAGGAAAACTTATGCTAATTGTACATGTGGTAAACACTGCAACAGTGCGAATTCTGTATTGTCTAAAAAAAAGCTAAAAACCAGTCGGAGTACTTGAATTGTGTATGAAATGGAATGTCGTATTTTATTTTATTGTCTATTTGATTGGGCATCTTCACAAATGAGCAAAACTAATGCAGGATGCACTTTTCTTTTAGCCATAAATGTTGTCCAGTGCCTTTCCTGCACTTTGTCATTTCAGTTATAGGTTAATACATGTAAATAAGTTATTTAAAACTAGTTACGTTACAAACATTTCATGATGTGATTACATATGCCTTAAAAAGGGGTATATAAATACAATTGATTGTAATGCTGTAAAGCAGTACAAATGGAATTCATAGAGACAGAACAATGTTAAAACAACAGTGTACTTGATTTTGAAAACTTTATGAGATCTCATTTTATTTAGAAAAACTGTTAAGAACTATTTTGTTTACTGCTCTGTACTGTATGTGCAGACTGGTTTTTTGTGATCCTGGATCTGAAGTGGTTCTGGATATGGATGGCGAGCCAGACCCTGTGAAAACTCTTGGCGAATCCAAAAGCAGTGTGGCCAGCTGTTCTGGATGCAGGAGTAGAGCTACAGTCTGAATTACTTCGAATCGCAGGATTTCAGATAAGCAAGAACAAAAACTGCTTACTTGATACGGATTGTTTCTCTGGGAAACAGTTGAACTCCCAATATCCTGCTCATCAGGAGTCAGGTCTAAAGAGACTACTTATTTTATTTTATTTTATTTTGTTGTTATTTTCAAAAGAGCGCTCTTCTCTGTTGATTTTCTGTTAATTTTCTATGCTGTTTACATTGGATTATGGCACCACTGTAACATTGTAATAAATCTGCCGGCTGTTCAACACTCAATTCTCTCAAAGTTATTTTACTCCTCTCGAATCTAGTCTATAAGTTTAACCCTACTATACTAAGCAGGTGTTACAAACCCTACAAACGTCACTGCTGTTTAGTTTTCTGTCTTCATTTATGTTGGAAGTGATAGCAGAGCTGTACGCTTGAATTTTTCAGAAATCTCTCAGTCAGAACATGCTATATCATGCTTAGGTGGAAGCTAGCGAGCTAACTTCCTGCTAACTTCTAACTCTGTTAAATTTAATAAATTCTGTTTTCATGGATGCCTGGATGTTAAACTTAATTGTTACACCTGGTAAAGCAGCAACACTGATCATTTTATTAGAGATGAAAGAATTTAGACAGTTTGAGTTTGGGACCTGAAGCGGACGGAGTTAAGGACCCAGATTACTCCGTGAGGCTCCTGACTATGGCAGCCGTAACCCTCAGACAATCCATCAAGCGGTGCGGCTTCCTAGCTTACCAAAGTCGTACTAAAACATAAAATCGGTTTGAGGTCAGTAAGCACAACCAGAATTCATCATAAGGTACACTGTCGATTTTTGAGAAAATTAAAGGATTTTAAGTGCACCTTATAGTGGCCTGGAAGTCTTACTGTCAAAGTAGGATATGTCTCAATGTCTCAAATATGACACAGTGGGAATTAAGGCGTTAAGATTTAAGATTCACATTTGTCAGAGGGTTTGAGAAGCACACTCATACAGAGACCTACCCGTTTCTAGCTCGGACTCTGTTTCCACTCACAGGTTCACTTCTCTCTCTCCGTCTTCCTTCACCTCTACCTGAGTGTGATTTGAGCACGAGCCAGTGGAACCATACCTTCCAGGCTGTCTCTCCTTATCTTACATACACAGTATGAATTGTGTTATCAACTTGTGTTTGTGCTTGTGTAGTGTCCACACATATATTGTAGCCTGCAATTATTCTAACTAATTGAGGTGGAGTGACAGCAACCAGAATTCCATTCTTTTTTATGTAACTCAGTCATTTAGCACTTAGCTTGCACGGCGTTCTGCAACTCCAGCCAAAGGCAGCATAGCACAGATTCCTATCTTTGTCAACAAAAAGCACTGATTGTCTCACAGAGAGAAAGATGTAGAGAGAGTGAACATGACGGAGTGAGCGTGCTTGCAGTTTCTGGGTGATTTTAGATTTGCTGGAGTGAAGATAATCAGCTTTCATTCCCCCCCATCTCCAATTCCACACAGAGAATTAGAGGATGGGAAATTGGGAGGAAACAGGTAGACGTTGTAATTATTTGCCTCACTGTCAAAGACATTAACCATGGCTGAGAAAACAATGCAGCTTCAGTATTGGAGCAGAATAGGAAGCAGCGATTTAGTCACACACTCATTTTCAGTTGCAGAAAGCTGCGCTCTGCATCACGTCACGCTGTTCAGCAACTTCACAGAGCTGATTAGTGTCACGACGAGGCAGCAAGGCTGATGCAACTATCATTACCTCTCTGGTTGATCTCTAAAGCTTTATTCAGCTTTCCAGCTTAAACACAAAGGCTGGTTTGGGGTCAGTATGTTCTACATTTGCTGTGACAAGAAAAATGCATTATGTACTAAACAACATTAAAAATAGGATTACAAGTGGCACAGTGACAGTGGTTAGCACTGTGGTTAGCACTTAACTAACAGCAATGTTCCTGGTTTGAACAGCGTCGTCGGTCTCCTCGGGCCTCTCTGAGTGGATTGAACAAATACCTGTGTGAGTGTCTCCTGTAGTGTGATGTCATACATGTTGTAGGGAGGGTTGTAAATGTGTGTGACTGTGTGTTCGTGTGTGGATTAATCAGGTAATGACTTGCAGGGTTTATAGTGGGCAAAATGATGCATAACAGCAACCTTAAATGAATGAGTAATTAAGTCCTAGACACAGTTTAATATAATAATATAATAATACAGTATATGGGTCCTCCGGACAACTTGGTAAGCTATACCAAAGTCCTCTGTTCAGCTTTGTTTATGTAGCACTTTACATTGTAAGGTAAATGCACTACCATAGTGAGAAAACCATAACAATTATACAGTCCTCTATGAGCAAGCACTTGGCAATCTTTGTAAGGAAAAAACTTGAACATGTAGAAACATCTGGCAGAGCCAGGTTCAGGGATTGACAGCCTGTCATGACCAGATGGGGTGAAGGGAAAGGGTGCAAATGGAAACAACACAAAAGACACACCATGGGAGAGAGAGAGATGGAGTTTATTGGTATATAAACACCTGGGGAGTAAAAAGAGCTGAGTGGAAAAAGTGGAGACGTACTAAGTGCATCATGGGAAGCCCCCGAGCAGCCTAAGCCTATTGCAGCATAACTAAGGGCTCTAACTATGACCTTTACCAACAAGAAAAGTTTTAAGGCTGTTTTTAAGAGTACAGAGGATGCCTTTGTTCCGAATTCAAAATTATGCAATATCTTTAAAAACAAATTAATTTCTAATAGTTTTGTGTTATTCGCATAAGTAAACTTAACGATATTCTTGCAGATTTCACATTAATGAACTATGTTTTGCTGATGCAGAGCAGGCTGTGGCGTCCATGCTTACTGTTAGGTTAGGTCAGTGGTCGAAATCATGAATTTAAATATGACCGCTTGCCATTATACCACCTTTATATAGTTAGGAGTTAGAAAGCACCCATAATAGCTCCAGTGACGCCTGGACTAAATGGTAAATGAACTCTTATAAAGCACTTTTCTACTCTACCTCAGCACTCAAAGTGCTTTATACAACATGCCCCATTCACCCATTCCTGCAAGCACTTTTTTTCTATGCTTATGTACTTTATGTCTAACATCCAGACACATTCACAGGATATTTGGCATGCAGACTGGACCAGCAAGCAATCGAACCACCAATCTTCCAATTAATAAATGACCTACTCCTGAGCATGGCCGCTGATAAACTCTGTATTGATCATGTGTATAAACTCTGTTCTTGACACTCAAAACATAATTATTTGCCTACAACCCAGAAAACAGATGTGTGATTAATGATGTGGTAGGATATGCTTCAGTCCAGACCGTGACCACCTCTTGTAGTAAATTTGATGAGGTCATTAGAAGCAAATAGTTACAGGGGACTACATCTTGTATCACCTAAGTAATATTCATACATAAAAATTCAAATCCACGCACTGCATTGTACATTAAAACAGGTAGTTTTGATTGTCTTTTTCAGAAGAAATTAAAGAATATTTTGTCTCATTTAGTTTAAAACATGAAAATCCTGCAGCTGTGTCAGTTAGCTTGGTTTGATGAAGGATTAATTTGATAAATACTGACAGAAGTAAAAGTTTACTCTCGGCATAAATTATGATACGGTTTTCTACGTTCCCTATTTCTTCACTAGAAATTCACTAATGAGATCATATGCTAGTATACGGCTATACAGCTAGCACAAAGAGCAGTGGTGAAAGTGGGCACCCCTGGCATGTGTCGCTCAAAAGCATCAATGCTAGTGACATCAGATTATTAGTGGAAACCTGGCTTATGGGGTCGTGTAAATTATCTGTAGCCCTCAAATGGCTTTTCAACATCTGAAAACAAAACTTCAGTGTCTTCAAACACTCAATAACGATCTAACATGATGAGGCACATTTTTACAAAACCGTCCTGATCTAGATTCATCATTGCCAGAAGGACAGGACACAGTCTTCTCGCAAGGAAGCAATAATCTTAGTAACTATTACGTAATGAAACAACCTTTATGATTGTGAGTGATAACCATGTCAGAAAGCTTCTTCACATAGCAAACAATTGGGTTAGGATAAGTTAATCAATATATCATAAAAAAAAGAACTTATGATAATTCACAAAAAAACAAAACAAATCAAAAACAAATCAAAAATTACTTATTACTTAAAAAAAACCATCTGTTTCTTCATTATTTTGATTCTTTTTGCTCCGCGACCATGTGTACATAATTTCGTTCCACCTCATGTTAACATGTGATGTGAATGACGATAAAGCTCCTTGAATCCTTGAATAGGTTTAAATGCTTTACATATTGTAACAGTTTCTTCCTGCTCTGAGTGTGAGAAAGGTCCATTTTAGATGATCAGTCTAATTTAGGATCTGTGCTCTAATTGAATTCCCCAACCTTGAGGATTTTCTTGGGTGAAGAAGGAATTAATGAAAAACACTTTAGAAAAAAAAATCAGGACTGTCATGGTTATAAATTGTGTTTAGAAACTCTGTTGTTTGGAGGGCTCTGAATTAGTGGCTAGCGTATTTTCTCCTGCCTCTATTCCTTCCATTCATTCTGTGTCTTATGGGCCTTTTTCTAGTTACCAGTTTGTGTCCAATGGCAACGTTTGCCAGAAAGTTGGGGATTTCTGCACACTATTCACTCCACTCTGTGATTTTATGCAGCCTACTTTTTCATGGCTAAGATGCTGTGGTTGTGGCCAATGATTTGGATGGGCGGATGAATACCTTTGGAAATATATTGTAGGAAGCTGAAATGTTCCATGTTTTGATAGCATGCTCTTCTAAGTGCTGTGTAGATTGGGCTAATGCCTTTGGGCACTGACAGCAACATTTAGTTGTGGTAACTGCTGCTTGCTTGTTAATCTTTGCTTAATAGGTATAAGATGTGCACATCAAGACATGACAAGGTGAAAATGAAACGAGATAGTATGGATGATTAGAAAATTAAATTAAAACCGTTTTCATTAAGGTGAAAGCTGAAGGAAAGCTGCACTGTACAAACACTTATAGAAGCGCTATGCTCATTTTCTCTCACTTCTGTTCCATTTCCTCCTGTCACCACACTACTTTGTATGTACTTAAGGTGGTGTTTTGATGGAAATCTTGATTACTTAGAAGGAAACTTTTCATCTTCAGTTTCAAGCTAAGAAACATCTCTCTAGGTTTGGATTGCAATCAGTGAGCGATTGTCTGACAAGGCTGTAAAGTGAATACTAAACAACTTTCTGTCATTGTTAACCATATTAGAGATGGACCTGGACAGGGATACGACAAAAAAATATCTCAGGGGC